CTGCAGCCAGAATTCTTTATGCTAAGAACTGGAAGAAATTGGAGATACCGAAACAAGAGGAACTTATTGAGATGATATGGGCAGAAATTGATATTCTATCAGAAGTGTCCAATATAAAAGGCAACTGAACAATGGGATTTATTATATAAATGGCTTGAGTCATCAGACAGTGATTGAATAACATAGAATTAAACTAAGATGTAACTGTAAGCTGAAACCTGGAGGGCAATCAAATTGTAGAAAGGCGAAAACTCAACTTGATAGCGCAACATGAACAAACAGATTGAATGACAGTACATTTTGTGTTCTCCTTCCCCCTCTTTTTCCCCCATATCCCCCTCTATCTTTTGCATTCCTTACCTTATCCTTACTTTTTAAAAATAAAAAATAAATTAAAAAAAAGTATTCCTTACCTTATCTCTACTTTTTAAAAAGAAAAAATTAATTAAAAAAGAAAAAAAAGTGTAGCTACAACTGCAGTAGTGGGTTCGAAGCAGTTTAATAAGGGCAGAATAATGGACCATGAAGTTGCTGTTGCATACACAAGGGGAAAACCTGGCTCTCATCAACATGGTTGCATATTGGCACAAGCTTGTTGACATTACCATCTTAATTTTATTCCCAGTTGTATTTTAGAGCTGAAAGACTACACTCGGTTTCAGTTTAGCTTTTCTAATGTTATGTTATTGTAAAGCTGCCAAAAGAGACAGCAGGCTTTTATGACAACATGATAAATGAAAATGTTAAAACAATTAATGCTGGCTGGGTAAATTCTGTAACTACCAGATGAATATTCCTCTGCTTTTCTCATGTTTTCAGAGTTGAACAAATAATGTTGCAAAGTGCTTAAAGGTTAAGATCAGATATTATGATGGATCAAGGAGATACAGTTCATTCGTGCTTCTGCTGTCTGTGGTTGTACTATAATATCTGACACTGAGTTGATCTTTCTAATGGAGTGATCAAGATATTCTAAACTGAAAGAGTCCCGCTTTGAACAATATAGTAGAAGTGGACAAGCCCAAAACATTTTCCTATTTTTAAAAATTAATGTTTTGGCTATTGCTACAGTGTAGATGTTAAAATTTCCCTCAAAGAGAAGGCTATCTTTACAGACACCCCCAGTAAGAGAGGTGAGGAGGTGGGCATGGGTCAAGGTGATGGTCTACTTCACCTTGAGGTATGCAGAGCTGGACCAGATGCCCAGGGGATCCCTTGGTAATATTTCCTCCCAGTTCCCAGGTAGTTTGGTTTTTTCTGAGAGAGCCACCTCCAGCTGGTAGCCCTCACTTGGGTCTTCTAGGCCATCTGCCCAGGACCCTTCATCAACCTCTTCCTCCTCCTCAACTGTCACATTGGATCATTGTTCTGCTGTTTGAGTTTTACACCCTTCAATCTCCTTCTTCTCTCCAATTCTGACTGTCCCTTCCCTTCAAGGCCTTCATTTCCTGGGCCTGGGGCTGTTACCATGTACTTCCTCCACCAGGGCCTCTGTTTGACTACTCTCTTCATGCTATCTAGTTTTTTTTCCCCATCCACATTCTTTTGGGGCTTCTTCCAAGGATTTGACTCTCCCAGATCTATAGGGGAACTTATAGATCAAAACCCCATAGGCCCTGGGAGGAGGCATGGCATCTTGCTGACAAGGGCACCAATGCCACTGTCCACAGCCTCACACTGAGGTAGAAAATGGAGCTGGAGAAAGCCACATCAGTGTCTTGGTTCCCCAGTGACATTTTAGAACAAAGGTGTATCTGAGACTATATTCCAGATATTTATTTATTATTTATTACATTTGTGTCCCGCCCTGTCTAGTGACAAGCACTACTCTGGGTGTCTAACAACAATGAAAAATAATGACCTACCCACATTTGAGGAGTTACCCACATTCATAGTAGGCAACTCCTCCAGTTGCCAGAAGCACTACAGGGACTGATAGCAAAGCTTCCTGGATGAAAATATGAAAAAACCCCACATTTTTTAATAAACAGATCTACGATGCCAAACTTCTCTGTACAAAATTTCAGCTGGACTCCAGGAAAAATATGTATTTTCAAGACTGAAAATAAATCTTGGGGGTGGGGACTGCCAATCATACCACTGGGAGTGCAATAGGGCTGAGTGCTTAATCCATCTTTCTTTGCCCTAGGCTGGCAGTAACTCTATGGAACAATGATGCTGACAAGAGCCTCTGTTAGGTGCCAGATGCTATCATGAGCATACATCGAAGACTTTGTTGTCCCAAAGAATCACGGGAAAGAGTTCCTATGGTTCCTGATGTTGCTACATTCCCCAAAGGCCTTGGTAGCCATAATCCCAACTGCTCATCTTTGTGACTGCATGTGGACCTTAATGGACATCCGGTGTTGTACAATTGCTGCTGCCGAGTTAGTTTAGGTCACAGAAATGTGACCATAACAATATGAACCTATGGTGAGAGTGCCAAAGAAAGCCCATTTTAAGACAGATCTGGACACCCATAGGACATGAGTCTATTTCAGAAATTGGTTTCAAAATATTAAAACCAGTGTTGTTGATTCTTCCCCCATTTGATGTTTCATTTTGGCATCATCACTAGTACAAAATAAAATCCAGCGATGACATACTTGCCGCTTGTACCTGAAGAGGATCTAGGGATCTGTGTCTGACAATTATTATTCTTTTAAAAAACGAATTCCTTTAAAAACTCTGCACATGTTTTTAAAAACCTGCTGAAGTAAAAAGTATTGCTTTTTATTTTACTATGTGTGCATTTTATGAATAACAAAGGCCAATTTCTGTTTAAAGATGGATAGAGTTGGGGGGGCAAGACAGAGAAATGAGAAGCTTGCAGCTTCGAATTTGATGTCTTAACAGTGCATGAACGACATTCAAAGTTATTTTGGTTTCTCGATGTTGGGAGTTTCCCGATTTTAAAGGATCTCTGGTGTTTAACAGGATATGTGTGGAGTATACCCTTTAACAAATTTCTCTTTCATAAACCTAGGCTCTACTTGCAACACAAAATCAGGAAAATATTTCTGACCTGAAGCTGAGTGAGCAGCATTTCCAAGTGAGGAAGAGAGAAAGACAGAGAACCTAATACAAGATGAGAATCGCTGAGGTTTTGCTGCACTTGTTCAAGAAGAGTATGGATAGGCACCAAGTGTTACATTTATGCTCTGTGAGCATAGTCTTCTTGGTGCTTATTTGGACCGGCACCTCGGATGCACAGAAGGATTGCACAGGTGTGGAGTGTAAGCAGCTGGAAAATTGCATTGAAGAAGTGCTTGAGCCAGATGAATGCTGTGCTTCCTGCCTACAGCATGGCTGCACCTGTGAAGGCTACCAGTACTATGACTGTGTGAATGTAGGCTTTATCAATGGCAAAGTCCCCGAAGGGCAATCTTACTTTGTTGATTTTGGAAGCACAGAATGCTCGTGCCCCAAAGGAGGAGGCAAGATCAGCTGCCAGTTCATGCTCTGTCCAGACCTTCCATCAAACTGCATCGACGCCGTGCTGCCAGCAGATGGGTGTCCTCAGTGTGGACGAATAGGCTGTGTCCATGAAGACCAGAAATATGCGGCGGGGCATACCTTCCATATGCCTCCCTGCAAGGTATGTCACTGCCCAAATTCAGGAGGAGACCTCATGTGCTATCAGCTCTCAGACTGTAATGAATCCACGTTAAACCCTCAGAAGCTGTCTGATCCTGGAGAAAGTGAACTTGAGCAGCACTATGATGACCCCTACAGTTATGACCAAGAGGCATTGGATGGAGAGGTCACCCAGGTGGAGCCCCCGAAAAAGTACTACAGTTATTCGGCGCATACGGAGCAAGAGAGCATTGGCCAGGAGCAGAGTGAAGATTATGATTACCTTGCAACCAGCGTCACTCCTCCTTCTCCAACCCACCTGGTTTTGTACACTGAAGATCTGTCTCTGACAAGCACAAATCCTCCCACAACAAACTACCCTGACACTAGTCGTGCCATTGAAAAGAGTGAGGAGAGGAGTTACAAAAGCACCACACTTCCCACAGTGGAGCAGAGACCTCAGAAGACTGCCACTGCAAGCAGCCTTTTCAGGGGACCAGCTGTGACGACAACAGAGATGCCCAGAAACAGGGCAGAAACGGAGAGGAAAAAACAGGCCAACAGAGAAAGGAATGGGCAAGTGGACAATGCCCTTTTCAGAATGAAACTGAATATGAAAAAAGACCACAAGCAGAAAGGAAGCAAATGGTTAGAATTGAAAGAGTCCAACGTCACTCAGTCCCATGGACAAAACTCTCTGCAGGAGAAACAAGAGAGTGATGTGTTCCCCAAGGTCAGGTTTAATCCAACCCCACCATCTCCCATTGCATTGGAAGAAGACAGCAACCGGATCTTGCAGAAACAGTCCCAGACACTTTATCATTACCAGCCTGAGGAAGACACTGACCCCAATTCTGTTCATACTTCTCCCAAGTTACCGGAAGGTAAGGTTTTGTATTCCATGTCACAGTTTTAAATCATGTCATACTAATAGAGTGGAATCTTGATTTCTGCCTACTTGCAACCTTGTAAAGTATTTCACGTGGTGATGATCTCGGCAACCATAATCACAAATCTCTACTGTCTCTTTAGTATAGAGTTGTTCAAGTGCCAGGAGTCCAGGGGCTGACTCTCTGGGGGCCCTGTGGACTACAACACCACACCCCCAACTGAAAGCAGAGGTGAATGGATGGCCACTTCTGTTTTTTTTTTTAAGTTTGTGGCCAGAAAAGGCTGTCCTTTGTTGTCAAGATCAATTGGTAGCTGCTACTACTTAAGCTCTCACCCAGTGATTTGGGGGTGGCAATCTTGAAAGGATCCCTGGGAAGAAGGGCACACAGCCTGCAAGGTATGTGGTTCCCACTACTATTTTAGCATATTGGATTTGGAGTAAGTGGTTCAAAAGCTGCAGCAATTCCATTAAAGGGGGGAAGGGGAGATATCTTCGTATTACACAAATAATGGTGCTTTTTTGCTTTACTGTCCTCTCCAATTTATAGACAATTTATTGCTGTTAGTAATGTTCACTCTGAGACATGACTTGCTAAAGGAGAAAAGGTCTGGTTATGATTTCTATAGATATCTGATGAAAATGCTATATCATGATTATTTTGTTAAACTATTAAGTTCCACTTGTATTATCCAGGTACTTGAGTTTATAAAATAATGGGCAAAGTATAGACTTCCTAGGCTGTTTGGGGGTTCTCTGCTCATCCACAAACCCCTTTTCCCCAGGCCAAAACCTCAAATGATTGTAATTTGCCTCTTGTATAGGTTGTGGGGTGCTCTGCTCTATATGACAAATACACAGAAATAATTTGCATTTTCGAGATCGGGACATGGATTATCAGTCAAGTCTGTGAGGTTGCAAGCGAATCCCAGGGGCAAGAAACTGGCCCCATACCTCCAAGGATGCCCACAGATAGAATGTTTTGTACATTCACTGTATTTATCATAACTGCTAAATCACCTGTTTAGTTTGGAACATAGTGACCTTTGCGACCATTCTCTGTATCCTGAGACATCATCTTCAGAATGCATAGAATAGCTGGTGTCCCCTCAACTCTGCTCTTTGCTGCAGAGGTTCTGTTCTTGATGAATGGTTGTTTTATTATTAAGTGTTTGCTAAACAGGTAGTATTGCATATCTGATGGCGATTTTATTTTGTGATTATCCTTCACAATAGAATAGACTAATAAAAATGATATCAGTGGGCATGGAATTTCTTGTTATCTGCAACATTTAGCTGTGTGCAGAAGAACGCTTATTATGTTTTGATGTAGGAAGTGTGGTGAAGCAGAGAAGTGGAGAAAGTCCCCTTGCATTGTACACCAAAGTGAGCCCTTGTAGGTTAAATGGCCACCAATAGCCACTCAGTGAACAAAATCAGCTCAAGCATATATGCTATGGTTGAATCCAGTAGCAAGTTGCAACTCAAGTAGTTCCCTTGAATCAATAAAACGTAGAGTAGTTGACTCACCAAATCCCACTGATTCAATGGGCCTGCTCTAGTTTTGACTTACTACTGGATTCCAGCCAATATGTCCTGGAATGTTTTGAACTGTAACTCCCACTGGAAACCTCAATGATAATTTATGTACCTTTCTCATTAGAGCACTGAAAGCAAAGTCCATTGGTGTATATTAAAGGAGTGAGACACAGTTGGGTTTTAATTCATTTTTCCATCAGGCTTATGTCACCTTTATGGCATTAAATGGTTTTAAGAAGCTCACAATTAAGGTTTATTTCTGCCCACATTTAATATCTGCAAAATGTTCAGGAAAGAGTGATTATTTAGGGGCTTGATTTTTGATGCATTTATTCATGGTAACAATATGCCATAAAGTGATCCCTTCCTGTTCCCACTCTGATAAGATGAGAACGGAGATTGGATCATAATGGCGGTTGTCCAAAATAAGCTACGTCCACGATCCAAAGATTAGGGCGCCTGCCTCTCCCTTTCCTGCCAATCCGAGAGTCCTTGTGCTTGTATTTCTCATTTGTTTTGTTGCCAGCAACTGACTTAATCAGGCACGATTGCCATCCTAATCAGACGGAGACAGTATGTGTTCAAACTGTGGTAAAATAATATCCTGAACCAGGTCAGATAGCTGAGTGCCAAAAGATAAAGTGTATTCATTTGTACACTTAATGGGCTGCGTTCCTGACGGGTGAGTGTTAAAGTTGGGAAGTTGCCACTTTGTGAACTGGGAAGGTAAAGATCCATTTGCTGTTGCTTTTAAAGGCTTCTGCAGCACTGACATCTCCAGGTGAGTTTAGCAAGTGGCTTCGTCACTGGACTGCCAGGTCAGGTCATGGAATGTTGCTTTTAATCAAAAGTAATCAATTGGAATTCAAATTTCAAGGTTCTTCAAGTAGTTACTCTTCAAGTAGTTAGTTACTTAACAGGTTGCTCTGTACTTCCCCATTTCTGAAAAAGAGATAAAATATATACATTTTAGTTGGCATTAAAAAATAATCTTCAACTTGTGAGCCTCTGATCTGTGGTACAAAGTATAATTTGGAGACAACAAAGGAGGTCTCCACCTCCTTGTCTCCATCACAACCACAAAGGGAACGAGATGTGGGTGTCCCATCGCTGGAGGTTTTCAAGAAAGGATTGGATAGCCATCTGTCCAGGATGGTATGAGGTCTCCTGCCTTGGGCAGGGGGTTGTACTAGAAGACCTCCAAGGTCCCTTTCAACCCTACGACGATTCAATGAGACAGGAGGATGAGAAACAGCATGAGTCAGCCTGGAAATAAGTTCAGGCCATGGTCCTGTAAAGTTACAGTTACACTCTGACCTAAGCTCCCAGATACTTGTGGAAAATAAAATGGAATTGATATTTCTGGAAGGCCATAAAACCATAAATTGTAGAGTCCCATTAGTCTCAGAGTCCAACTAAGAGGCATTTCTAGCAAGGTTGAACTATGAGGCAAAGTTGCTCTTGTAGGCAACGTGTCCCACAATCCCCCACCAGTCTGTTGCAGAAAAAACCAAGAAAAGTTCTTGTGTCACCTTAAAAACTAAAATGTTGTGTTTGGCATATGATTTTGTGGACTGCAGGCCACTTCCCAAACTATAGTGTGCTTCATTAGATGCAAGGAATATTACTTAGAATTTTAGGTATATCCATGTAGTTGTGGGTAGGACAGTAGAGTTAAAGGGGGCTGTAGTCTGCCAGATCACATGAAATAGATAAGTGTCTCAATTCACAAAATGCCACAGGACTCTCTGTGGATTTTGGATTCTTTCTGACAGCTTTTCCTCAACTGGTTGCCCTCCAAATATTCATTAGACCCAGCCAGCATGGCCAGTGGTCAAGATTCCAGAGTGTGGAAATCTGGAGGGCACCAGTGTAAGAAGAACAGTTCTGTGATAAGCCTGCATTATAGATGGAACATGAGTCACAATATTCTTATCAAAGCTGGCAACCTTCAATGCCCTCTTTCTCTCATCAGTAAAATATAGTAATGCTATTGAAAGACATGAAAGTACATCAACATACTGTAGGTATTCTTGCTTCTGTGTTCCACCTCCAATGAAGTTATGAAAAGGACTATAAGGACAGAATGACGTTACAGCAGGCATGACTATGTATCTGTTCCCAAAGGGAGCAGAAGAAGACACAGGGCTCCTGTTTTCATTGACAGCCTCGCATTTCTTACGGTCTAGCTTAGGAGAACTGCAGGCAGAGCTGAACCCTAAGCAGCCTATTAAGAAGAAGCCAAGAACAAATGTCAAACCACACATCAGAGCCAGAGAACAAGCTGACAAGAGAAATGAACCAAGGCTAATGAAGAGGACAGGGGCATGAAAAATGTCCTAGCTGCAACATGAAGACTTTGCAGCCCTTCTTGGTTATAATGTGGTGAAAGTGGAGGGTGGGAGCAGTTGGGTCAGTCATGTTTTGGGGGAAAAACTACAACCTGCAATTCCTCTGCGTCACCACACAAGACATCTTTGTCCCTAACTCTACTAAAGACTCACACTATGTACCTGAAAGAAAGAATATTGATCAGGATCATGATTAGGGAGGGATCCTGGTCAGGATTTGACTCCCTTCTTTTAGTTTAAGTCATGCGTCATACTCTGTGCTTCATGATTAACCGTACATGTAGTTTGACTCTGAGGTACACTGAGACATGTACATGACCATATAAGGAAGAAACGGAGGGAGAATGGCTATAACCTCTCACATATCATTTCCACCCATGTAGTCTAAGGAGTGTTTCAGGTATTGGAATCAAGTGATTCAGTCTGCTTCAGTTTTCTCCATTATATTAAACTCATGGTTCCAAAGTAGCCACTATGACTAATGTTGGCCTCATTTTGAAAGTATTTTTAAAGAGCTGGCAGGAATCTTATGGTGTTAGATGGGTATAACTTTTGCTGACAAGGGCTGGATGCATTTTGAAGCAGCCCTAGCAAAATTTCTAAACCATAGATTTGAACCATATGTTCTGTTAGGAGAAGAAGAGCGGGGACTGTTGTTTCCAAAGGTGGAGAGCATGACAAGGGCATGATGTGTCAAGGAGTGACTATCACCCCTTCCCCCAGTTCGGTCCACCCAAAGCTTCTTTTTCCTGCTCTGTCTCTCCTATGCACAATGACGACTTCAGTGATATTTATCTACTTAGCAGACATGTTAAAAGTTCCACTCTCCATCCTGTGAGTGTCGAGAAATTTCCAGTACTGTACTGTATTTACAACAAACTTATGATCTTTACAATAAATACACTCTGAAAAGGAATTTTTAATAAATGTAATTGGCAAATGTATTCTCAAAGGCTTTCACGGCCAGGATCTGATGGTTGTTTTGGGTTATCCGGGCTGTTTGGCCATGTTCTTAAGTCTTTAAAAACATGTCCAAACAGCCTGGAAAACCCACAACAACTAATTGGCAAATGTTTGAAATACACAAAAGCAAATGTTTAAAACA